CCCCCCCCCCCCCCCCCCTCGCCTTATTTTTCTTCTACTAACATTCGGTCTCTTAGTGTTCTTCTGCTAACATTCACTTTCACATCAAGGAGTATTTTCTTTCTCATCCTCTCTCTTTCAAAGCTACCTTGAAAAATATTGCCTGTTTGGTATCAAATGGATAAAAATATATTTAAGAATGTCAAACAGAGTAATGAAAAATCCAATTCAGGTGCCATAGGGAGGGGAAAATGCACCGAAAAGCTTCAAATGATACACATCTTGAGGAAAAAAAAATGTTTCAAACATTCCTGATAAGTCCTTTTGCTCATAATTTGGGATTTTGTTTCACAGGAGTTTTTCCATCCTCTTTCTTTGTACATCCACCAGTTTAAAGCAGTAGATAAACTCTATGCATGCTGTCAAGCAGTTACAGAATCCCAAATCTACTAATCAGCTCTGTTTCCATCTAGGAAGTGATCAGTATATAAATCTCAAAAAGTAAAAAAGAAAAAGAAAGAAACCTTATTTTGAGATGTGGAAGAAAGTGAAGCCGCCTTCACACTGCCTTCGGAACATGGGTGTCCTGAACTTATAGTCCTGTTGATTAAAAGTGATCCTTCCTTTAGTTAATTAATTAAGCAATTAAACCAATATTCCAATTAAAGCATGCACACGGTCGGGTAAAATAATCCCATGGGGAAACCTCCTTGGTGTAACCCTAGCCCCTTTTTCATAGCACTCCTCATTGTTTTGTATCCGCTTTTCCCACTGATATTATCTTTCCAAGGAATTTTTATTATTGTTGTTCCTTCAAATGCAATTCATGAGAAAATTCTCCATGCAGGAATGGGCAAGTGATGCTAACAGCTCAGTCTAGAAAGAGTTATTTTGAGGTGTGGGGGGGGGGGGGCCCTTAGATACTGTGCAGTCTTACACGTGTTGGCTTGAAATAACTTTTGAGTTTGATCAGGTTTACTCCTGAGTAAGCAGACATTTGATTATAATCTTCATAATGAAACACTGGCATTTTAAGTTTCAGTTAACTCAAGGTGTGGATTCCCACCCCCCATTTTTTTAAAATTTTTTTTTTAAGGTAGTCCCCCTACTCCACCCCAATATCTTTTTATTTCCAAATCTGGAGTTGTTTTAAGCCCATGAGAATAATTTGTACAATTCTGTTATTTAAAGATGATAGGTATTTATCTTCTTGGAGGTGGGGAGAAAATAATCTTTTCTTCTCTTTCTCCTCCTCCTCCTTCTATAGCATACTGTGTTTATGTGGGCTTTTTGGGCCACAATTTAACTTTTAGGAATCTACAGTCTTGCCTCATGTTCCAGAAACCTTTGAGGCTGATATCACTTATTTATTTTTTAAAAGTTGCTACAATCTGTCACTGGAAAATCCATCCTATGTTTCTTATTTCCATGTTTCTCATGCAAATCAGGAAATTGCTAATCCCTAGATTTGAAGACCATAATTGTTATTGAAATTGTTATTGAAACATTGAAATAGAAGGGATCAAAAGGCAAAGCACCTTCCTTTTGGATATTATTTTTTCAAACAAAATTATATTTTATTCATGCTCACTTTCAGTAGCAATCGTAATAATGTTAGGAGAAGGGTGATCGTATGTTTTTTTGTTCCATGTTTCTAAATTAAAATAGCTTTTATTTTGAATATGATTTGAATTATAGATTTGCAATTCAGTTGCCATTGATGATACAGTATGAAATATTTCCTGAACACATAACTTCAAAAGCAACATTGTATTTTTAGACTGTTATATGGTCTCCTAGTCATACTACAAAACCGAGAGTACATTGTGAGTTATAAGGTTAGTAAGGGGCTGACACTAGTTCTTCAACACAATCCAATATGTTTCTCCCAATTTTTGTTCCTAATTTGGGAGGGAGGGAGGGAGGGAGGGAGGGAGAGAAAACTGTGGCTGTGCAAAGCCAGAAAATTGATTTAAACCATGGTTCAACTGACCATTAGTTGTGCAAATCCAGCCAGTGCTTGAATGTGGTAAGGACAAGGATTTTATTCTTTAACTTTCTGTCCCCTTCCAGGGTGTATATCATCTATTTCCCTCCCTCCTAAAAGTACCCCATTATAAATCATAGAAGATAAGGTACATTAATGCTTAAACATCTCAACAGCAAATCAGGGACAAAAACAAACTTAGGGATAGCGTCCAATCACAGGAAAAGAGAAGAAAAGAATCGTGACTTCTCTCCCTCAACGTTTTGGAAGCACATCCAAAATACCTCCTTTTGGTCATCAACTTTCTTTCAGAAGTAGGTCTATCTGAAGAAATATCAGGCAACATCATTGCAAATATCATAGTAACAGGCAGTCTTCTGAGTAGCCAGGCCCAACATGGGTTAGAGGCTTAAGATGCAAAATATCTGTCGTAATTCATATCTACATACAATGTTGAGATTCCATAATTAGGATTAGGGTTGGGCTCAAATGGACTACAAGGTAAAACAGGACATTCATGTACATTCTTGGTCATTACTAAAGAAGTCCAAAAACCTTGGACTCCATCATGAGAGTTGCACAGAAATTTTCTTCTCTGGAAGAAAGTCCAGTAGCAAAAAAATCTTTCCTCTAATGCAGTGTTGTCCAAACTTGGCCACTTCAACTCCCAGAATTCCCCAGCCAGCAATTCTGGGAGTTGAAGTCCACTCATCTTAAAGTGGCCAAGTTTGGACAACACTGCTCTAATGGAACAAGAACTTGGATTTAAAAATGCAGGGTATTTTCTTTGCCTGGCTATAAGTGAGTAGCTCTTGCTGGTGGCACTGCGTGGAGTCCAGCTTTTGATGTGGTATCTCTTTGTTTGAGCAAAGGGTTCTTACACTTCTATGCGCAGGGTTGAGAAGACACAGAACAGAAAGGACATTCTGTTATCTCTTTACTTATCTGGCCAGGGATTTGACACCTTAACATCATCCTGAATGACCCAACTACTGTACAGTTTTGTGATGGTCCATCTTTTGCACCTACATTTGCAGAGAAAGAGGGGTAGTCATGTAGGATAAACTGCTTTCCAATGATATTGTTGCTATAATTTTCATCAATAAAGCTCTAATAAGATTCAGAGGAATCATTTGATTTTCCAGGCTGGTTTTCCCCAGCTATTGTTGAGAAATCTGGGAGTTGAAGTCCACACTTCTGGATAGTGTCAGCATTGGGGAATCTGCTCCAGGCAATTCTTTAAAAACTCTTAGTTGAGCCTCTTGAAGATCAGTACCTATGTTGAGCATTAGCGATTCTGTTCGCTTGTCTGATTGATTGATCAGTTGATCAAATCTGTATGCCACCTGACTCCCTATGACCCTGTCTTCTGAAGGTGTGCACTTAAGTATACAGGATCTGAATGCAAGGGGGTATCTGCAGGGGAAATAAAAATAGTCAAGCTGGCAGGAACAACTGTGCAGTGAAAGCCCTATCCCCTTTTAATATGCAGTGTGTGTGTGTGTGTGTGTGTGTGCGTGCGTGTGTCTTCAAGCCAGGGTTGACTCCTGGCAATGCCTGGGCAAGATTTTGAAAATGGTTTGCCATTGCCTTCTTCCTAGGGCTGAGAAAAAGTGACTGGCCCAAGGTCACCCAGCTGGCTTTGTGCCTAAGGCAGGACTTGATCTCTGGATTTTTAGCCTGGTGTCTTAACCACTACACCACACTGGCTGCCTTGTTTGAGTTAACCTTGACTCCTAGAGACTGCCTGAGTGAGTCCCTGCAGCTTTTTTGGCAAGATTTTCAGAAGTGGTTTGCCCTTGCCTTCTTCTTCCCAGGGCTGAGAGAGAGGGACGGCCTCAAGGTCACACAGTGACAAGGTGCCTAAAGTGGGACTAGAACTTATGATCTCCCAGTTTCTAACCTGGCACTTTAACCAATACACTAAACTGGCTCTCTAACATGCATTATGACACATGTGAAAAGGGGAGGCGCTTTGATCACCCCATCATGGCCACCATCTTGACTTTTTTGACCCCCATGGTTGCCCCTGTATATATGTGGGCCTGTGTTTGCATGAAAGAGAGAGAGAGCGCTGCTACAGCAAATCTTGACCACCCAAAGATGAAAACAGTGAGATTTTCCTCCTTGCAGCAGAGAATTCAACAGAAGAGGTTAAAAAGAAGAGAGGAATTATGGAAGATTATGCAGCATTACTTGCCTGGTTTTTCTGTTTTAATCCCACTTGGAAAGGGAAACCACTTTGGTTATGGGTCGAAGAAACTCAAATCTCTCTCTCTCACTCTCTGTCCGTCGCCCGTCCATCCATCCATCCATCCATCCATCCATCCATCCATCCATCCA